TGCACTTGTAGTTGCTTAATTCAGAAGCAAGTGTTAAATTTCCATGCTGGCTGTCATTTTTGTTGGTCCTAGCAACATGGAGACGGGCGGGACTAGGTTGGGTTTTGTTCCCAGCATTTGAGCAGTTTGTTGCCTTTTGTTTTGCTAAGCGATTTGCTTTAATTAAAAACTCAAGTGGCGCCAGAAGCGAAGAGGTCTTCTCCGGTTGCCCTGTCGGAGATGGAAGTGGAGGGGTCTCAAGTTCGGAGGCAGCCACAGATATCATAATGCTGCCGATGCCCTGGCGAGGCGAATGGGCATCAAAAATTTCGCTTCACACATTTTACGATGCTCCCCGTCAGACCGCGAAGACGACACTTCAGAATGCATATTTCAATGTTTTGGTCTCGTCAATGGTAATAAAACATTCGCATTGCAGAAATATGAAAGAGGGAGAACTGGCATCTAAATCTTGTCTAGAAGTCGCCCTGCGTTCTCGGCCCTTCGATTGTTTCGCGCGCCCTTGCGGCACATTAAAAACCTCAACTCGCGTCGACTCATCTCTCACCGCACTCCTGTGGCACTGCACTCGCATCAAAGAGACGCAACGCTGTGTTCGGTTTTTATGGGTCTGGATCATAAAACCGAAACTGAATCGCACGATAGCTGCGTGGAAATATTTTTTCTCTATGCTCGCAGTCGTATGTTGGCAAGTATTTGTGCCTTCTCCTAAGCCTAGAACTCACTTTGGGCTGTAATTAAATTTCCTTTTGAGAGGGCGAGGCTACAAAGTCGAAGAGTGAGATCTCGTAAAACTATCACAAAGTTCATTTAACTCTGTGACGAATGGGGCAGAGACATGGCCGGGGATCTGCCAAATCAAACTTATTAAAAAGAAGTAGGAAAAAGGAAAAAGCAAACATCAAGAACAACAAACAATTATTCGTGGCAAAACTCGAACCCATAAAAGCGGGCAAATAATGCCGAAAACTTTTACGAGCCTTGGGGAGATCCTGCCAGAAGCACTTCCTGAAAGCATATCATTCGCGGAGAGACAAATACCCGTGCCATACCCGTAGAAGGGAACCCTGGAAGGAGAAAATATCCTTTCAAATGGCACTTCAACTCCATGCTAACTCGCCTTGCCTTTGTTGCCATGGCCAAAATGGCAATAAATGCATAAGTTTCCATTTTACGATATTGTGTTTCCATTTTCTGCCACGTATTTCCTTAGACAGTTTTCCGCACCTTTGCCGTTCTGCGTAAGTACAGGAAAATGTGCAACGAAGTCAGGGAAACTCCAACCCAAGTTGGCTCTTGGTTCCTGCTTTAATTTTACTTTTGAAATCATTTTTCCATGTATGCATTCTATAAAATGACTGATGTTTTGGCACATCAAAAGTGTCCGACAGACATGAAAATACATCTATTGAAATGTATGCATTTCATGTGGAAGACAACATCAAAGTGTCCCAGAAAACAAATTGTTTCACACCGTTCGGCGCTAAGAACTTTACATTAGAAATTCCAATGTGTGTGTGTGTGTGTGTTTTTTTTAATTATAATACTTATAATATTTACAACCGTTAAAAAGATAAGTTCAGAGTTAGTTATCAGAGAAAAAACTCTAAAAACTATCTAAAATATCAATTCAAATTCAGATCTGGATTTTTAAAGGACAGTTTTATGGAAAGATATCATATATGTATGCATACATAACTGCACACATCCTGCATCTGGACTTACTATGTCTACCTTCCAATAATGTTAAGATTATGTTAGTTCAAATGATTTGATTACCATATAAATGCTTTTTGCAGCCTAGTGATGTTAGAATTTGTTTCTTTCTAAATGCAAGAAACAATAAAAAGTACTCAATGTGTCGGCAATCTGAAAAAATATCTACTAACAAAAATTGTAGTAAATAAATATTGCATATATTGCATTTCCATACAAATAAAAAAATTGAATCCCCGTGAGTACGAGTGCTATCGTTTATATGTATGTATCTAGCTCGCATATCATATATCTATCAGATATGTATACGTTTGCACATTTTAAGGCCTAAGAAAGATTGTGATCGTTTCTGGCAACTCTCAAGATCATCAAATGCTTCAAACGGCCGACTTCCGGCTCACTTCCATAAGCAGCAACTTTGTAGTCTTCACTCTGATCTCGGCTCTCCAAAGTTTATGCAAACCACGGCATTTAAAGAACATTATGTATATGAATGTATGGACAATATACTGTGAATATGATTGTTACCATACAATTTCCGCTGATTTCTAATTTCCGCTGACTTGTCATTAAAAAGCAAACCCCTTCATTTTGATGCTCTACATGCCCCATTGTCCCCATGCCTATCCCCGTCCCCGGCGTCGGCCGATTGTGGGTCTGGCATTGGTACTGTGTAGGTGGAGGCGAAGGCGAAGGCAGCCATAATAAATGCCATGCTTGCCATAAAAAAAACACACAACAAAATAAAGGAATAAGAACAAAAATGTTATAGTTTTCTGGGAGCGAGTTCGAGTTTGAGTTCGAGGTTTCGGTTTCAGCTTACGCTGCTCGATTTCGCCCTTCTCTTGGCTCCGAATGTGGTTCTTGCTTCCCTTCTGCCCCATTTACACTGCTCCTTGGACACTCTCCTGCACGGCACAATCGGTTCAATTCCAGCCGTTCGTAGTAGTGCATTCATGGCTTTTTTGGTGTTCGCTCGTGTTTATTGTTCGTCGTCGTCTTTCGTGTGCCTTGCGTGCACAGACCGCTAGCGCTCCGCTCCTCGCTGTTTATGGGGCCCTGCTACGCTTCCTCTTCTTCTTGGTTTTTAGTGGACACGCATTATTAAAAAATAAACAATAATGTATGATGTATACAAAAACGAATCCGAAACCGAAACCGAAACTAACCGAACCGAGCCGTACTCAACGCAGAGCCGCATCATTTTCAGCTACTCCTTTTTCGGTGGAAATTTTTTCGTGGCCATCGTAAAAAGTTGACGCGAGCAAAAAACAGAAACGCAGACACGAACAAAAGAAGCATATAGTAGAATGGTAGCTGCAGGGAAATAGAGAATAGTGGGTACTCTTCGAAAAGAACTCGATCGTTGGCTTCATTAATGCTGATAAGCGAAGAACATTGTTCACATTCTATTCATTAGCACATACATGTATGTATGTATGTATCTTCTTTTATTGAATATAATCATATAGTGAAACGATTACACTATAAGAAGCAAGTATACTTCCAATTCAGCAAGGGGAAGCATGGCATGGAATTTATGATACGTTAAAAATTGAAGTGCGTGGGCTCGAAAGTACTCAAGAGTTGTAGGGTAGGATCAGAGTGCTTTTCAATGTTCGTTTGAGCGCAAATTAGTTTGTCTGCGACAATTAGAAATCAGGCAAAACGAATCGAAAAGTCAGAATCAGGGTCTGCTGCATTATCTTAAAAGGCGTCGTAAAAATCACATTTCGCATTATAAATCCCAAACTCTCGGGTCGAGACCCAGCTGCTCCCCATATTGTGCGGACTGACTGGCCATACCAGCCACTCGAACTCTTCGTGGGCAACTGCTGCTATAAAATTTTACGAGCACCGAAGCAGCGCTTATCCTTCTGCGTCCGAGGATGCGCTTACCTCTGGACCGCAGGTAAGCAGGCCCAAGACCGTGGTGGTTGATGTTGACGTCGATTTCGCCATTCGCCATTCGACCGTCGCCGTTGTCTTTGACTGACTAACAGACATTACAATGATTTTAATGGGTTTTATGGCTGAGACATTGCACCCATATGGGCGCGCTGGTATCGTGCCATTAAAAATTGTTTTATGCCGCATTTGCGCTTAAGCATATTGCCAGTGCAATATTGAATCTAACTAATTAACAAGCCACAAGACTACTCCAACGATGATCGATCAAAGTGCCATTCCAAGCTAATAATTTAATGAATTTCTCCCTTGTTCTTTTCGCAGCGATAATTAATGGTATCAGCCAGCTTGATTGGAGATCAGATTCCAGGAACGAACACAAATCCCCCAACCCGACTACTGCATGAATGTTATATGTATGATATCTAACCAACGTATGGCATATTTTAAGTTAAATTAAAAAATAATATAGCACGAACAGTAGGAATAGGCTATCCCAAGAACACGTTTTCAAATTGATCTCAAACCAATCTTAAATAAACAAAAATATCCCTATATATTATGTAAAGAAAGCTTATCTCGTTTATGAGTGGTCTGCGAAACTTGAAGATCATCTATTCCTAGTAAATCAAAACTCGTTATTCATATGTAATATATATATGTACATATACATATATGTTTCATTTAACTATGAAAACTTTTTCTGCGAGTAACTGTTCGGAAATCTATCACTGACCTGCACAAATCAAACAAGTTCTTCTAAACTACAGTAGACATAGACATGCGAGTATATAAACGACTTCTAGTCCAAGGCATGAGCACGTCCATTCGGATCCTTCAACACGAACATGTACAGCATCTATTAGTACCATCATGGGGAATCGCGATCACATTTGTTCTACTCGTATAGTCCTTACATATGATATGAGATTATCAGCTTGAAGTAACCACATGATAATTATATACATCCAATTATATCCAATTATACATATGTATTTATGCACGAGTATATATGCATACATATATCAGATAAATATATTACACTTTCTAGGGCTGTGCGCTGCCATGTAAAGAGAGCATGCGGTTTAATACTTTGTGAGAACTGATCTAGCAGATCTGAAAATAGTGTAGCGTTGGCTATATAGAAACTTTACTAAACTTAAGACTATTTTTTTCTCTTACGCATTACCGGTTTTTATCCTCTGTACAGTTTTTCAATACAAGAACAAAAAACAACCAAAAATGTTATGCTAATCAAATTGTAGTTGAATTTGTTTGTATTCGCTTAAGCAGACAAAGCTATTAAGGAAGATTAAGATTATATAAAGTAAGGAAATTAAACATTAATAATGCATACATTTCAATTTAAACGGAACTCTTTGTAAAACACTAAACAATTCAAATGGTATCGTAGCTAATTTAAATACAAGTGCTTCAAAACAAAGAAATACAAAATAAAATAAAAACAACTTCGATATAACTAAAATAAACATTTTTCTGTAAATAAAATGAACTCTGGCTTTTGTGCTTGCTTTTTGTGTGTACATAAATCTAAAGCGAATCGGAGGCCGTCTCAAATTCCAAACAGACCCTTGAGGTCATCAATGGTTAGTTTTGAACTAACTCCGGAGCCTGTTAGGACGCCATTGGCTAGTTCCAATTTATGTTGCTGCAAAGCCAAAATGCGCTGCTCGACTGTATCCAAGCACACGAACTTATATATCATGACATCCTTTTTCTGCCCCACGCGATAGATGCGGTCTTGGGCCTGGGCTTCCAGCTGCGGATTCCAGTGGAGGTCAAGCAGCAACAAATGATTAGCACCAACCAGATTTAAGCCAACACCGCCAGCAGTAAGTGAGAGCAACAAAATGCGCTTCTGATTGTGCTGATCATTAAATTGGTTGACAATTTCTTGTCGATTCTTTACGGGAATGGAGCCATTCAGCGAAAGGGTGGACAGCTTATCATTCTCCAAATGATCGCGCAGTATTTCCAGCACCGATGTCCATTGCGAAACTATAATGGCTTTATCGTTGTTGTCCTTCAGAATCGAAGACTTCAGTATTTCCATCACCTTTAGCATTTTCGTTGATGGACGCTTCATGTTAAAAACTGGATTGCTGCGCTTTAGCACATTTTTGGAAGCCTTGGCAATGCGAGCCTCATCCCCATGTAGCGGCGGTCCGTCGTCATCTTCAGTCACTCCTCGGCTGCTTCCGCTGTCACGGCTGGACCGACGCGGAGAAGTGGAGGTGTCTGTAATAGCCAACTTATTGAGCTGCGCCAATAAGTCAATCTCCGGGGATTCTCCGTCGCTGCCGTCAGCGTCCATACTCTTCGCCTCCTCTCCCTCTAGCATCTGAAAGTAAGTAATTCATTGAGTCCCATTGAGAACTGAACTGCTTTATTCCCGAATCATTCACTTACCGAATCAATCAGACCTGGATGACAGCATATCTGCCTCAAACGCAACAGCAGGACCAATATTTCATGGGACTTGACCTCTTTTTTATTGCCTGCCATTTTCGCGAACTTCTCGTGCAATTTATAATAGGCGCCATTGGGGTCCTTGATTTGATTGTATGTGGGCTTGTTGGCATCAGATATAAAGTTCGAGTCCGAATCTTTCTCGGCACGCTGAAACAGGAATTGTGCAAACAATGTCCTTGAATATGTCATGACCGTCTGGTACACATTCATCTCGTCTTTGTCGAGGGAAATCTCAATCATACGCAAGTCCTTGCCGGGCAAGCTGTTCAATTTTCCTTCCTGCTGCAGCTGTGCCTTAGTGCGCCTAAGCATGATGGACTTCATTAGCAAATTGAGTCGGTTCTGCCCGCCAGCACTTTTGTTATCGATCCACTTCTTCCACGTGTTCAGATCGTCGAATGGTGAACAGCGCAGGAACTTCAAAAGCGCATATATATCTAGTTCCTTGTTTTGTATGGGTGTGCCAGTCAGAGCCCAGCGGAACTTGCCGCGCAGATCGCTTACTGCGATTGACGCCAGCGCCTTGTGGTTGCGCACAACATGGGCCTCATCCAGTATGATGCGACGCCACTTGACACCAAACAAGGCACTCGACTCCTTATGCTCTCTCCCCACGATGTTGTAAGTAGTTACAACGATGTCGTATGTGCGCAGATGTTTGGCCTTCGTCTCGCGATTGTTGCCATGATGCACGCACACGGTCAGGCGATGGCGGTTGACCTTGGACTCCACCTCTGCCTCCCACTGGCGCAGCAAGCTGGCCGGGCACACGACTAAGGTGCCTCCACGATGAGCTACAACGAAAACAATCGGCCACTTTAGGGGACTGACATTGGAAACACATTATGCGACCTACTGTCTTTGCGGCCCTTAGAGTTCCATCCACCAGTGCTTTTCCGCTTTGTATCGTTCTCTTCGTCGCTGTCGCTGTCGCTGTCCACATGGCGCCCATCACTGCTCTCCTGACGATTTTTGCAGGCGAGAACGGATGAAATCATTGTCAGAGTCTTGCCTAAGCCCATATCGTCGGCCAAGATGCCGCCACGGGGAGTCTGATTCTCACGCCAAGACATCCACGCCAGGGCATGCTTCTGATGATCCATTAAAGTTACCTTCAGCCCCTCTGGATCTTCGGCCAGAACGTCCTCTGCTGGGCAGCCCTTCAGCGACCCATGGAGATCCTATAAAGACGAAATATTAGTCGGAATGCTTGAGCACGGGAGACTCGGTTACTCGCGGCACAAATTCAGGTATTGAATTCATAATCTTGGAATGCCCTTAAACAGGCGCCGCACAGTAACTCGTGCCCAGCGACCCCCAAATTTGATCATTCTCAGATATCCGTTCTGAGTCATCATCAAGGAAAATCTTATTTCAAAGCACTAAAATTATTCCACCTACGTACCTTTAGAGATTCCAGCGTTAAGGCCTTCTGCGTGTTAAACGTGGCCATTCCCTGCGCGCCAGTGTACTTGGGCTGAATCGAGTTGACCGCTGCCGAAAGGTCTTCCCAGTCGGTTGTATCGTTGTCAGACTTGCGGTGAGCCTTCATCGCCGTAATCGCCTTTATTGCTGGGACACTCCTCTGCTCTACTTTAAGGCTACTAATAAGTTTTGTTTTTAACTCAATTTCCCGACCCAAGGCATCGATGCGCTTCCTGATTTGGCTACCCTTGTCAGGCAGCTTTTTGGCTACTTTCTCATAAAGCTTTTCGGCGTCATTCTTTTGGGCGCGCATCTCCATCAGCTTGTTCATCTCCTCCTGATGGTACTCCTGAGTTACAACCTTCTGAGCTTCACTCTTGATCAAAGAACGGCGGGGAGCAATCGGTGAGGTGCTCTGTTTGAAGGCCCTTTGTATGGTAGGCTGCATGAGACTCTTGTTGGACTTAACGACAGGTGCTCCGGCGCTACTGCGGGGCGAATAGGATCGGCTTGCGAGGGGTGGAGCGGATATGTTTTCCTTGTTGAAGCTACTTTCATCATCCGTACTTGATATTTCAATGGGAGTCTCCTTGTTGCTCAGTATGAGGACATCGCTACTACTCGAATTGTCGAGTGACACTTCAAGCATGTTGGCTGTAGATACTGTTGAGTGTAAAGTCTCCTCGATGTTTCCCACAAACTGCGTGCTGTAGCGGGGCGAAAGATCTCCGCCATCGCCACCGCCATCGATAGATTGTCGGTTGCGCGCAGCCGCTGCTTCTTTTCGCTCAACATCTTCATTGTAGGTCTCTTCAGCTGTACCTGCTGACGCCTCTTCGTCGCTGTAATCAATCTCACTTGAGTCATCGCTCAGATCCTGTGGGCGTACACCTGTAATGCTCATGCGCGTGCTCGGAGACAAGGCCCGCGAGTCCAGCTCATCTTCCTCTTCGCTGTCGGAAGCGATCACTGGAGGACGACGTCTCTGCTTCGGCTTAGCTTTGGAAGGACGCACGCTTTCATCTTCCGACTCGGTTTCGTCAATAATTACGCCGGAATTACTATCAGGGTTGATCCCGCGACCGCTGTGGCGAGAAGAGCGCGACGAGAGGCTTGATCGCACTACAGCGCGGGTCGAGGGGAATGAAGGCACTTTGTTGTTAACATTGATTCAAATAAGATATAGCTATAAAAATACCTGAAACAGCGCTGCTGATCACTTCATCGTCTTCATCATTAGTGTAATATTCACCACTGTCACTGGACATTTTAGATTTACAAAATTATTTACCCACGATGTGAGGCTTGCAAATTCAGCGCCATTTAATTAAAGCCTTGCCACCAGTGTGACCGCGGATTTATCATTAAAATATACCATAAATATACTGACGAGTTCAAGCCCTATTATACATATTCCTCGTTTTTGATATTCCGTGCAATATAGCTAACTTAATAGAACCCTCAGCCCTGCCCACAAAATTTTATTCGATTAGTGAATGAATTTTCTACTTAACTGGTTGAATTTTAACTCTTGCTTTTATTGGATTTCTATATAACGTTGACAATTAAAGATGAAATTTACAAAAAATACCATTATATACCGATATACCAAAAATATACCGTCGATTTATTTTGAACTAAAAAAATACCGAAAAGTATTAAAAATACCGCAAACGGTCACTCTGCTTGCCACCAGACCACTAACCATACAGTATATGGTTAGTGACCAGACACAATGTATAAAGCTGCCCACCTGTTTTCAGTAATTAAAAAATACTTAACATAAAAAGAATTTTAAAGCAAAACAAACTCCTCTTGCAAAAACATATCAATATTTTGATGTTAAGTTGATTATTTGTTTTCCTCGATTTGGTTTCCAAAAATCCCTAATTTCCACAATTATATATTGATTGACGAAAAACATTAATCTATCACTCACCAACACTGACCGCGACCTGTTTTAAAGTTTAAGTCGCAAAAGAATGTAGAGTCGAGTATATATCTCAAGAAATATGTTAAACTTCTCTTTTAAAGAAAATAAGGCATTTAAACCGTATTTCCGTGCATCACTGATTCCACTGGATTACAATCATATCCGTGTCACTCCTTCAAACCATTTCTCTTTGGCGCGCATCTTTTGTTCTCTTACTGTTCTCAGTAATGACGCACTATGGCTATAGAAAGGGGTATGGACAACAGGAAGGAACAGCCAAGGAAAATTGCAAGGCTCGTACGAACTTCATCGCGTGTGAGGACAATGTACCTTGGAATAAAATCGGCTTGTTGATTTCAAGCTATGTTAGGAAAAAGGTTTGAATTTTCAGTGCCGTTATTCCCAATGTCCATACCCTCTTTTCCACCTATTATGTAGCAAAAGACGTCGCATCGCAAAAGACGCTTCCCAAGGCCGTCCGAAACCACTAATTCCACAAAAAGAAAACAACAGAAAACCAACAAGAACTTAGTTGCGAGGGCGGGAGATTTGATTTATCCGGTTTTTTGTATGCTCCAATAGGAGCAGATGTAAAACGGATTGGATTTTCGATGCAATGCCACCCAAACGTGGAAGTAAGTGATTTAACTAAATATTATATTTAATTTTATTAACCTTCAGTTGTACAAGTCTCTCTAGCGACTCACAGTCGATCCATATACAAACGCCAGTCATACTCCCAAAGTTCCATGCACAAAGACAAGGAAAATGAGCAACAAAATGTAAAATCTCCCGCATATAACTGGGACACAGCCGGCTCCTCCGATGAAGATGAAAATCATCATCAATCGGGCGGCGTGTTTTCGTTGTCGCCATGCTTTGACGCAGTTGAGAATTATGATGAAATAGAAAATCAGCCAGTGCCCTCGTTCGATGAATTGGAGTCGGAGGATACGAAATTTGATTTTAGTAGTGGTAAGTAATTAATTACAAACATTATTCACCTCTTAGTGCGATGCAACCCATTTGTATAACCTTTCAGAGTATGCCAATGATGCAGATGTCGTATTGGAGGTCAGTAGTGCGGAATATGAAAAGACCAAGTCCAAATTTGACGAGCTTGTAAAGAAGGTGCTTGCTTTGGAGCAGCGTAAGCGGGAGCTTGAAGAGGCGTCTAAAACAGGAGCACCTAATAGTGAGGAGCTTGAGAATATTAAAGCGCAATTGCAGAGGGGCAACGATCGTTTGATTGCAAATGGCGATGTTCTAGACACTTTTCGAGTACGTGAGGAGCAGACCGATAATTCCGAGCCTCAAGAGAACGTGAAGCCGCAATGGGCCAATCTGTTTTCGGGTCTGAATCGCCATCGGAACAAGGCTGGCGCCACTCCCGCTCAATTCTATCAGCATAAGGCGAACATTATTTCCAGCCTAAAGGTGAAACAATAATCAACTGATTTCTCGCCGTATATGACCGTATTTTTGTATATCACAGACCATCTACGAGCCAAAAGAGCCCACACCCACTGACGATCAGTTTGCAGAGCAGTCTCCACTTTTGCTTGTGGACTTGCTTAAGCATCAGAAGCGCGGTTTGAAATGGATGCAGTTCCGGGAACGTCAGGAAATTTGCGGTGGAATACTGGCAGATGACATGGGGCTGGGAAAGACGCTTAGTATGATTTCCCTAATCTTGGCCTCTCTGGAGACAAAGAAGCTCAAGAAAGATAAAAAGCAGAAAGCTTTAGTAGCCAAATGGAGTAAAGAACATCAACGGATGCCGGTTAAAAAAATGCCCAAATTTCGTATTTTTGATGATGAGGACTATGACGACCAGGAAGACCAGGCACAGGAAGATAAGTATGAACCACATCCAAACCGGCCGAGTCCGATTGAAGACGCCGAGATATCAGAATCTGAAATAGAAGACGAAGAAGATGAACGTGGTCCCTACCCGTCCGCGGGCACTTTAGTGGTCTGCCCGCTGAGTGTGATGTACCAGTGGGCCCAGGAAGTGGCTTCTAAAGTGGCACCAAATACCCTCAAAGTTTTGACCTTTCATGGTCCCAATCGCCATGACATCAGCTTGGAGGAATTCAGAAGCCACGACATAGTTATAACCTCGTACCATACCGTCGCCTCAGAGGTTGGTAAACTTAGCAATAGTTCCCGCCTGCTGGCCGTCCAGTGGAACCGCCTAATCCTGGACGAAGCTCATATAATAAGAAACGTTAGGACTAGCTGCTTCAAGTCCGTCTTTCTTCTACGCGCACATTGCCGTTGGGCACTGACAGGGACACCTATCCAGAACAAGGCCATCGATGTCTTTGCGCTGCTGCGTTTCTTAAACGTACCGCACTTCAAGCATCTGAAACAGTGGAAGATGATGCTGAACGGGGGCATCCATGGTCACTTTCGCCTTAGCTTCATTATTAATCCTTTGATGCTGCGTCGCACCAAGCAGGAGTTGCAGGCGTCCGGGGATATGCCCTTACTGCCTGTCTTAACAGTCGAGCTGGTATATGTACAACTCTCGGAGCCTGAAATGGCTGTCTACCAGATTTTGTCGGCGATTTCCCAAAGAATCTTTACCCAGTTCTTAATGCAACGCGAGAAAGGAAACAGCGACTTGAATTACTATTCTGTGTACGGCCAGCAGAAGCCACAATTCATCACAAAGTCTATTGAGGAAAAATATGCAAAAATTTATGAGCGATTCCTTCGATCGCTTGGGTACAATCCACAAAAAAAGGTGAAGGGAATCGTTATTCTGGTGCTGCTTCTGCGCCTTCGTCAATTTTGCTGCCATCCCTGTCTATTGGTTAAGGTGAGTAAAATATCAGATCAGAGGGCTACAAGCTTTTATTTAATTGAACGTGTTTCTTTGCTTAGATGTTTTCGGACATGGATGTCTCCCGGTCCATGGATGATCTGAGATCAGATGTCCGGCAAATCGGAGGTCCGTTGCAGATAGATGCGCTGAAGGAATTAGAAAATTACGTAGCTGGTGATTGCAGCTGCGACGTCGAGAACGAAGACCCGACTGATCCGCTGGCGGATTCTGCTGAAGTGGATACTAAAAATCCAGACCTGAAAGAGAATATCAAGATGGCCGACATCGAAACCAGGCTGAAAATTAAAGAGGAAAACATAACGAAGGACGAATCTGAAACCCAAGAAGAAAATAAAGAAGTGAAAATGAACATAAAAGTGAAAGTGGAAAATATTAAAAAGGAAGAATCCCAGAACACAGAAGAAACTAAAAAGGAAAATATTAAGAAGGGGGAAAATGTTCTCAGCGACTTGGCCGGAGACATGGAACTTCTAAATATTAACAATCCTATTTTTAATACGAGTCAGCCGTCGACAAAACTGAAAATCGTTATTCAGAAACTACAGTCAATACTCGAAGGAACGACAGACAAGGTAATCGTCGTATCCCAATGGACCTCTTTTCTAGATATCATTAGGGAGTATTTGAATGAACATGAATGGCAGACGCTTGACTTTAATGGCAAGATGGATGCCACGGAGCGCGAAGTGGTCCTCAAAGATTTCAACGTAATCCAGAACAATAAGCGGATTCTACTGCTCTCTCTTACCTCTGGTGGGGTTGGTCTCAATCTCAATGTGGCCAACCACTTGCTGCTGGTGGACTTGCACTGGAACCCACAACTGGAGCGACAGGCGCAGGATCGCATCTACCGCTACGGCCAGCAAAAGCCCACCTTTATTTACCGCTTCATGTGCCAGGACACCGTGGAGCAGCGTATCAAGGCATTGCAGGACTACAAGTTGGAGATTGCCAATGTCGTGCTCCAGCCAGACCAAAGCGCATCGTCTGCGGGTGGAGATCTGAACATGGAGGACTTGAAGAAGCTATTTCTAATGTGAGCTATGCCCATACCGTCACTTCTCGGCTAGAAAAGCCAATATTTAAGAAGTTTAATATAAGCTTTCCTTTAACATTCCATGTTATATTTCTAACAAACGACCACAGGCTTTATTAAACACTACCTCATACGTACTATGTATAATTAATACAGTCTGTTCTGTACGTGTTCGAATCTTAATTTAATTTGAAAACCACATATCTATTATAATCATATTAATAGTAAAACATATTAGTTGCTTCTTTTTGGTAACCATCGAAAGGAATAGGAACAGAGTAGGAATATATTGTTGAAGCCAAATATTTTCTTTGTTTATCTTTGTTCATAAGAAGTTCAACATTTCTCTTCTTTATAAATACATACATGTAATCCACATAGTACACAGTCTGTTGTGTATGTGGTCAAACGTAAATTTGATTTGAAAACCAAATACATACATATCTGTTATAATCATTAAAAGTCAGTCTAGACTTCGTCAAGTAGAGACGCGCCAGCAGCAAAGCAAATCTAATAACAAAATCCACACATAAAAACATTCAAAGGCACAAAGCAAATTCCAAACGAGGGGGAACGTTGTGAGTTGCTGCGGAGACCGCAACTCTACATTTATACCCCATACTTAGTCAGTATACTCTCCTCCGGCAGACGCCGCTAATATTAAACGACACGACAAAGAGTGCGTGCGAGAGAGACAGAAAATCAGTCAGAGCGTGACGTCGGACGCTGCGTAGCCACTGCAAATTGATTTATTCCTTTTGGCTATAAAAATGATCCGATCTGATCCAGATTCAGCAGCCGGATAGATATGGTCATTATTTATGATTGTGCGTTTTTAGTTTTCTCGAATCTGCTATATTGAGGATGCAACAGATTTTCGTCCTTTGTGGGGGCGGAAGGGGGTGTGGCGAAATTCTGAGATATACTTTTTATAGTGAGATCTAACAGGAGTGCGGATTCGCAGACTGGCAGACTCTGCAGCCAAGATGAACACCAAATTTCCCCTCATTTACACCCCAAACCACAACTCTACCGACATTGCACACTTCCTAAAAAAAGTCCTCCAATCTAAACAAACCGACCTCCTCACAAACACCTCTACATGGTACGAACAAATTAGCAACCTCGCTACCAACAACACCCCCTCCAAAAAACAATATCCTTAATAGAAGGCACCAGGTCATAATTAATAGACTGAGACTGGGCAACACCAAGCTGACCAACGCCCACTACTTTGACAAAACATTGCCCAATACATGGCCATTGTGACGCAAAGAGAATGGGCGATGTGGGAATTACGGGAATCCCTCTACTTTTGAATACTTTGTATCAAAACGAATTTATTTCTGATATTATAATTGGAATTAGTAAGCAGATGTGTGGGGGAATGGTGTCTGGGTATTTTCCTGCAGGTGGAACTGGAATTCAAATTCTTGGGGAGTTGGCGGTGGTTCCTCACTTCTTCAAGATGGCATTGACGGCAAGGACAACGTTGCGGGCTGAAATGCCAAACATGTCGATGAGAACCGCTGGCGGACCTGAGCGTGGTACAGTGGGCACAAACAGATGCTTCACCACAAAGTTCCGCTGCTCGGCTAAAGCACTGAGCACAGCCTCGCCTAAGCCTCCTTGCCTGCGAGAAAATCATATTCGTATTATTAAGATAAGTTCTCCGCAGAAGGGATGGCGTGTACTTACTGGTAGTGGTCCTCAACGACAACCACACGGCCACCGCACTGCTTGCCATGCTCCACAATTAGATCCACGTCCAGAGGTTTTACGGTGAACGGATCAATTACACGGACTGTGATGCAATCTTTTTCCAGCTGGTCGGCGGCGGCCAGGCACTCGTACAAAGTGATGCCAGCTCCGATCAAGAGCACCTCATCGGAGGGCTTCTGGCGAACCACCTTTCCGCGTCCAATGGTGAAGGGCTCGTCGTTGTTGTAGATCACACAAGTGTTGGGACGCGAGGTGCGGATAAAGCAGACGCCCTTGGTATTGGCTGCCAGCTCGACGGCACGCTCGGTACTGACAGCGTCGGAAGGATAGAAGATCGTGCTGCCAGGAATAGTGCGGAACATAGCGATGTCCTCGAGTCCCATTTGAGAGGGGCCATCCTCCCCGATGCTGCAGCCACAGTGGGACCCTACAAAGTTTACATTTGTCTGCGAGATGGCGCCCATGCGGATCTGGTCATAGGCGCGAGTGAAGAACGTGGCGAAGGTGGAAACAAACGCCACGGTGCGACGACGGCAGGCAGCCCCGATGGCAACCCCCACCAGATTCTGTTCAGCAATAAAGCACTCGATGTGACGTTCCGGGAACGCGTTCTTCAGCTTGTCGGAAAAGGTCGAGTTCTTAGTGTCGCCGTCCAGAGCAATCACACGGTCATTGTCAGCTGCGATCTTGGCCAAAGCTGTGCCATAGGCTAGGCGCGTGGCTACCGAGTCACCAAGCTTGTAGTTGGGTGGAGCACAGAGCTTTACATTGTTGATGTCTACCTCGGGTGCCAGGCCGGTCTTGCCCACTTTCTTCGGCGCAAGTTTGACGTTGGGATTGACCATCAGGCCCTGCAAGTGCTTGATCACCTTATCAGCCTGGTCGCCCAGGGGCTTGCCGTGCCAGTTATCGAGGTCCTCAATATTGGGGAAGTCCTTGCCCTTAAACGTTTTTGCAATAATGGCTGTTGGCTTGCTCTTAGTGTTGGCCGCACAGTGGAAGGCTTTGCAGAGCTCGTCGATGTCGTGGCCATCCACAACCAGCGCATTGAAGCCAAAGGACTCGAGCCTGTCTCTGTACACCTCCATTTTGTGCTGCAGCGAGGTGGCCTCAGACTGACCCAGCCTGTTAACATCGAAGATCACGCACAGGTTGTCTAGATTGTAGTATCCGGCAAAATGCAGCGACTCCCACACTGATCCCTCAGCGGATTCGCCGTCCCCCACAATCACGTAAGTGCGATAATCGGCCTTGTCGAAGTTCTTGCCCACATAGGCCATGCCGGCACCAACGGCCACGCCCTGGCCCAGAGATCCGGTTCCCACATCAATGAAGTTGAGGCGAGGTGTAGGATGACCCTCCAGATCGCTGTCGATCTTGCGCAGGTTCTTCAGGTCCTCCACGGAGAACAGGCCAGTCTCGGCCCAGGCAGCGTATAGAATAGGGGCAGCATGTCCCTTGGACAATATCAGGCGATCGCTGGATGGATCCCGGGGATGCTTAACGTTCAAGCGCAGCTGCTGGAAGAACAGCACTGACATGATCTCGGCCAGCGAGGCGCATGATGTGGGATGTCTGTTGGAGATGAAAGGAAGGGTTTTTTTATATTTTAACTTTAACACAGAAAAGGGCTATGGTTCTTCAATGAAGAATTTTAGATGACAGAACAAACGAGGGGGAACGTTGTGGGTTGCTGCTGCGACCGCAACTTTACATTTGAGTATCGGGTATAAAAACCATATATGTATGTATGTATATCCAGGAGACATTTACATTTGTTGTGTTTCCATTTGATCTCAACGTCCATTAATCAATCCGACATACAAACCAATATATTTATAGATGAAGATATTAAGAGACCAATGAAAGGGCAGCAAAGAAATTGTTTACAAAATGTGCTGCAATTTGGCAAAACTCCAACCCCAACGAGGGGGAACTTTGTGAGTCGCTCCTACGGTCGAGACTCTACATTTATACCCGATACTCAGTCAGTACCGCCAGAGGTTGCACATAATGCACGACAAAGAGTGTGTTAGAGAGACAGAAAAATATCTGATCCCAATTCTGCAGGAAGAAATGGTAATTCTCTATGATTCTGCGTTTTTCTCGTATCTTCAAAATGTTCGCCCTTTGTGGGGTGGAAAGGAGCGCGGCAAAGGAGTCTGGATCTACTCGTTGCTCTACTCTTATATTCTCTGAGGAGTAAGTGTGAAACAAGACCGATGGACGGACAGACAGATATGGCTCAATCGAAACTTTTCCTTCTGGGCGTTACATACATCCATTTTCCGCACAAATCTAATATACCCCTGTACTCGTCGAGTAACGGGTATAAAAATACGCAACTTTGCAAAGGGGGGCTCGTCTTATCCCCCATGTACATTTAAATATGTACATACTTATATATAAATAAACCTTATCTCTAAGACAAGCAACTAGAATGATATTCGAGTGAATGTACACAGCTACCACACCGGTTTCACGGACCTTGTACTCCATTGGGGTCTGGTCTGTCATAGCATCTCAAAAAACAAAACTCTCAAATTACACGCTGCGATTGCATGTTGCCGCCTGTCCTCTCCAACAACTCCAAGTACTAATGAAGGTGATCCTGAGTGTCGAGTCACTTGGTTCGGCTCATTTTATCAGTGTTCACTGTATTTCGATCATCATGCGCGAAGCACACCGGTCAGCTGGTCACCTCTACGAGGGTGTAATCGGTCATATCGTAAGTCGTGACGAACCAGCAAAACTCGGGTTATCTTACCAGCAAAGGTCATATATAGAGCAGATCTTATCTCGCAGAAGACCCCGAAGTGGAAAAATTATGAAGTTGAACTGCTGCGCCGCTGATTTCAAATGAACACCAGAGAATGTTAGGGCGGCCAAACCAATTAAAAATGCCCCGAAAGCAAAGACTATACAATACTATTGTATAGTCTTTGCCGAAAGGCAATAGGTGAAAACGGTAGTTTTCAAGGTCGGCAAAGGTCAGTTATAAAAGCTAAGTAATTTCCACAATGGGGTTTATCAGCAAAGCAAGCAGCTCAAACGCACAGACACACACACACAGCAAAGCAGTGCAACAAATTCATAAATTCGTATATCTGGAAACACTAAAGTGACGAAAACACGTGGCTTGGAAACTCAAGCCTGGCAGGGGGTCACCTTTGCCGGTGGCGCAACAGGTGCAAGGTGCACAATTTTTGGATTGCAGGTTTACATATGGCCATGTACACACACAATGCTTGTGAATGGTTCGATTAGGCGCACACTTACCCTGATTTGGAGGCCTGAGTGGAGTTGATGGAATGAATGCGAAGCTTTTGAGCCAGGTCTTTCAGGTCCTGAACGGTCTTCGCTTCTGGCTTGTGGTAGGACATATTGCGGATGATTGTTGTTGACGTTTCAAGCACAAAACGCGAAAAATTTGTATTCGTTAAACAAACGCTGAGACTTCTGGCAAATAGACGAAGAGAAGGCTGTCGTGGTGGCGGCGGAGCTGGAGTCAAAAGAACTTGTAGCAGCCGTGGTGGTGCTGGAAAATGTACAAAAAGTTGTGAGATTTGGAGATTTGATTTTTGTTGCAGTGTGACCGGAAATATACGAACTTAACCCACTCAACCCCCCTCTATTTAAAAGGGCTAACATCTTGAGCTAATCAGCGGAAAATAATGCTGTTTGTAAACTTTTCTTATTGATTCATCCTTCCTTTTTTTCTATAATCAACATTACCATTACATCTTTCACCTTAACTGCGTTAAAACTCTTCAAGATTCATAATTTTCGTGGAGAGTAATTTGGTCAACAGTGGGTTAATTGTTCGTAGTCCTTGACTCGAATTCATTTATCAATTTTGATATTCGGTTTAATATTACTAGCCAGATGGAACCATCAACCCTGAACACATACTTTTATCCGATTGATGAATCTATTTTCTATATGATTGGTTTGTTTTAAATATTCCCTTTTATTTGATTTTGTCTAAAAAAAAAGGTTTTAAAGAAAAAGGCCAAACAAATGAAACGTGAGTGAGTCATCGTTCCTATTGCTCAATTGGCTAGCTAAGACTCGCAGCTCTGCCCACATAATTGTATGCCTTTGATGAATGAATTTTCCATAAGTTCAGTCTTTTATTGTATTGTGTATTGAACAAGGTTAAAACAAAAAAGTTCAACTAAAAAGCAGTCAATGTTGCTGGTATTTGAAAACATGTTGCTGCAGTAGCATGTTTTTAAGTGTATATTCGAAACGATACAATTTTGTTTTAGGATATATCGGTTTGACGGACATTTCTGACGATTGGTTGAAAGTAAAAGACACAAAATACCAAATCCAATTCCGTTAATGTGCTATATATTTAAACCTGTGGAAAAGGGTACGCCACACATGCTGCAAAATATCTGTATTTCGAACAAACCCGTTTTTGTTTGTGCAACAGCGTTTAGGGCGCATCGAACGTTTTCTTTGGATAATAGTTGTTCGATTTATGGAAGTTCATCTGGTCTGATGAGGTGGCTCAAAAGGGGCCTAGATGATTCCACTGGACGAGTCGTTGTTTAAGGATAGCAAACGGCTTTCCTCGGTAATTCAGTTGCGAATAAGCGGGCATCCCTAGGGAGAGTACCGAAAACAAGCAGTCCCGGACAGCCAGCGGGTTTTCGCGAAGCAGCACACGCCTCATATACACCCTACACACTACCTAACCTAACCTATGGAAGTTCAACTGTAATTAATTAAAATACAGAATAGGCAACCCACAACGACTGCCTGATGAGAGCGAAGAGCAGCTTTATTAGTAGGGTAGGAACGATTTATTTAAAAACACCGCGGACAAAAAACAGATGGCTCTGTTGATATTTACATGTCTGTGTAGTTTACATGTAATAAACGTCATGGCAACTGCACAAACATGTAATTTGGGTATAGCCAGCTCATAATGAACTAATACTAAACCGAATATCAAAATCGAGGAATATCTTTTTAGTTCGTTTTGTTCATGTATTGTATGGTTTATAAAACTCTTTTTTAGTACATTTGTCGTCTCTTTTTCCGATCGGACCCAAAAACGACAATTGCGCAACTGGAATTCAACCTTCGATAGCTCAGTTGGTAGAGCGGTGGACTGTAGATAGAAACACGTGCAATAGAAATCCATAGGTCGCTGGTTCAAATCCGGCTCGAAGGAGTTTTTCTTTTTGTTGTTTTAACATTCATTTTTAGCTTACCGTTTTTTGATATACAATATACGAAGTTCATGAATAACTTGTGGACGAGCGCTACTTTTACCTAGTTTAAAATGAAAAAAAAAAACAGAAATTTTTCAAAGACTGTAGGTCAGAAAGTCAAATTTAAATTGATTTTGATATAAAAAACTAAGCAAGGTAAACAGATGGGTTTGCTTACATATAATAATTTAGCGTGTTCTTTATTCACCTTATGCAAACAGGTCGACATATCGAACATTTGAAGATAAAAACATACGGATTTATCGATATCAACTGTCCTACGAGTTTAAACTATTGCACAAATGAGTTAGCAAAGTACTAGTTAACATTAACAATAATTACATTCAATTTACACTTGTGGCCATCGCTTCATGGAGCATGGAGCTCATTCAAGATTCCCGGTCGTGGCCGGACATCTGGTCCAATCCTAACTTCAAGCGAATCTTTGATACCTTAATATGAGTTTACAAAAATAGGCATTTTATGTTTGTATGTAGTAAGTTCCACTTATGCATAGTTTGGTAATTAGTTCTGCATAACTTTAAGTTTGTGCACACATATTTGTATTCGTGCTTCGTTCAAGTACAATGAAAGCTGCTTGGAGTGCACGGTCGGTCATCTGCCGTTGGTTGGCAGCACTTTGATCAGCACAGCTATATTGTAACATTTATTCATAGTATTGTACAAGCGGGTTCCATATAATTTATACACAAAATTGGATCATAAAACATACAAACGTAAAAACAAATTCTCAATGAGGACGTACAAAAAATACGCTAAAAACGATACACGGCAAAAAATGTTAAACGGGGAAAAATGGAATATCACTAGCTAAAAAGCATTCAATAATTGTACAAGAAGTAATCGGTAATATAACTAAATAAAAATTATAATACAATATCGATTTGCTGTCTATAAAGTTTTTAGTCCAGGGCGATGCCTTGAATCCAGGCGCTGAGGTCGCTGCCGTCCGACTCCATTATAATCATCTCATCGGGCTCATCATTGGCCAGCAGATACTGCGCCGCTGTCCGCCCACTCAAGTAGGCGCCGTGCACGGTGGAGTAGAAGCTGGAATGCGTGTGCTCTCCAGCAAACAAGATGGCGGGCTGAACGCATATAGAGGAAATAGACAATAGACTTAGGTAAGTGTTCAATAAAACTTGTGACGCGGCATGCACTGTACCTTCATGGCCTGCGGCGTTGCATACAGGGGCTGGGCCAGGTTTTCAATATCTTCCTGGGTGGCTCCCACAGGTATAGAGGTATAGGCGCCTCCAGTAAATTCCTGCGATTTCCAACTCGTACTAAAAATAAAAAAAAAAAAATCAGCAAAAATAAATCAACCATACAATTTTTGGACTCACCACACGCAACGCTTCGGTTTCGGGACATACGGATCTTGCAGGAAGCTTCTCAGGATTTCAGTACACTTTTCCGCCACAGCTTCGTGAGAGAGCGTTTCCATATACTCGGCCTCGCGCCCAGAGACCCACCCCAGGAGAAGCGTGTCCGTCACCTTGGCAAAGGAGTAGATTTTCTTGTACCAATTCTTGCTAAGATAGGCCTCGCTGGCCAGCTCCTCCTCAGTGCAGCTGTGCATGTCACGCTTGTCATCATTCCACAGCAGCATCACCTCCGATATGTCTGCACTGAGGAATGGCCTCTCATACTCCAAGTATATCTTGTCTACAGTCCCGAACATGAGATTCTCAATCGATTCCTGCTTAAACTGCGGCAGCTCCGGATCAAAAAGGGTTTTGTGTGTATTCTTGAGCACGCCCAGCGGTATAGTGCATATCACATGGGCGGCGTGGAAGACGCGTCCGTCCTCGCAGTCTACACGCACATTTCCCGCGGGATAATCACAATTGCTACTGGAGTTGGACTCGACGGAGGCTCCCCGCAGCGCACCGCCCGCAGTGGGTACTTCTGTGACAGTCTTTTCCGAGTCATCTGAGTCCTCGTTCTCCGAGTGTTCGTCTACGGTTTCCAGGCCTGTGAACGTCTTTTTCCGCTTCCAGTGAATCTTCTTTACCGGGCACTTGGTCAAAATAGACTTCTGTGGTATCTGGCCACTTAACGGTCGTAGTATGGAGCTGTAGCCAGAGGGCAGAACTATATTGCCGCCCTGTAGCTCTGTATAGCTGCCTGCAAAGGTAATTAAATCGTCAATATTTGTAGAAAACAACGAACTCGCTTCTACAACCTACCAAGCTCGAGGAGATCCACCTCGTTCATGTTGTTACAGCCAGTGATACAGGTCTCTCGCTTGAGAAGGCAGTTGAATATGGACTGCTTGAGGCGCTTCTCCTTTGGATCCTGCACCGAGCTCAGATAGATCTCGATCTCGTAGTTGATGTGCTCGCCCACGCTATGTATATCCGGTGGGGGGCTATACTGACACAAAAAATACTCGTCGCAACGCCGTAGAAAGCACACGTACGCCTCGTAGATCTCTTGTAGTATGCTGAAAGGAACTTGATGCCCATCTTCGGTGGTGGCCACGACTTTGTGGGGCTTTGGTACATTCACCACGCTGACTAGACCTTGCTGCATGGCGAATTCGAATATTGGGTTTCCCAGGACGCCATGTATCCAGTTGGCGCCCAGCTCGATCTGTGAAAATAAAACAAAGTGAGTGTTTGAGAAATTTATAGTGTACAAAATTCACAAATATTTATTTGTAAATGCTTTTTTACTTTCTGATGATGCTCAGATAAGAACTGACCTTCATATATTCCTAGAACTAGGGGGTGGGCTCATTGATCATGGCTTAAGAGCTCACGAGTCTACGTGATCGTTGTCCCGTCAGCCCTCCATTTGGTATAATGGATGGTATAATGCAAAATGGAGGGCTATAGCCTGGAACTTCATCGTTAGCTTTATTCAGTAAGCCGTATCTTATCTAACATTTTTTGGCTATTGGCTGCCAGTTGTATAACAATTCGTTGACAAAGTCATAACTAATGGACAAGCTCTGGTATCGTAGCAATTGCTCTTAGTAACTAGACAAAAGTCTGGTCCCAAGCATTCCAACAGATGTACAGAAAAAATGGTATACAAATGGGATAGGCAAGAATCAATTAAGTAAATTGAGCGGTCTTAGTATCTTTGAAGGGAAAATATGACAAAAACTAAACTAAGAAATAGTCCAAGTAGCAACACAAGAAGGCTAAGCAAGCCGACATAAATATACCCAATGGGATGCGTAAATAGCAGACGGACTGCGCAATGCTTGGAAAAATCTATATTCTATGACTACAGCTGCAGCAGTAGCTACGTTATAGCATGCTCGCTCAG